CTGCTGGCACCACAGTGGCCCTGGTTTCCTCAAGGGAGGCTGCACTGCCACCCTATACCAGTGTGCTGCCCCAGTGCAAGGGCCTGTGCTCGCCTCGGGCAGCCTCTGGGCTGCAGCACCCTCTCCTGTCCCCCGCAGGGAGGGCTCTGCACTGAACAACAGCGTCCCTGTTAAGAAAACTGGCGTGCCCCGCTCTGGCAGGGGTGCCCGGCCCCAGCAGCAGCAGCAGCAGCAGCAGCATCGCTCCAGCCCTGCCCTGCGCCAGCCCGGTGTTATCCTGCCGCTCGACTCGCCTCGGGCAGCCTCTGGGCTGCAGCACCCTCTCCTGTCCCCCGCAGGGAGGGCTCTGCACTGAACAACAGCGTCCCTGTTAAGAAAACTGGCGTGCCCCGCTCTGGCAGGGGTGCCCGGCCCCAGCAGCAGCAGCAGCAGCAGCAGCATCGCTCCAGCCCTGCCCTGCGCCAGCCCGGTGTTATCCTGCCGCTCGAGCACAGCTCAGCACCAACAGCTTCACGTGGCTTCACGTGGGCCCAGGCCAGGCCAGGCTGAGGCAGAAGCTGCTCTGTCCATGCTTAGGGGCCGGAGCTGCTGCGTTTGTGTGCTGAGCTGGCAGAGCCTCCCAGGGGGGCGCGCAGGTGAGCAGCAGCCATGGCAAGGGACGGTACTGCCCAGCCCCGAGGCAGCAGGGGCCACGCACCAGGTGCATGCAGAGGTGCTTTTACAGGAGATGGCCAGAGCAGAGATCGTGCTGTTGCTCTGCACTTTGGTGTTTCCAGTCAGCCTCTGGAAAGAAAGGGCAGAGGTGTGACACCATGTCCCAGCTCCCTTGGCCTGTGCTTGCTTGCCAAGCTACGTCGCCAATGTGCTCCACTGCAGCACCTGCGCCCATTCATGTCGGTATCTGGCCTGCCTGTGGGCGCAGAAGCGCAGCACAGGTCCTCCGAAAGCCCCCTGGAGGAGCCTTCAGCCTGGCAGCTGAGGACCTGGCAGGAGCCTGTGAAAGGTTCAGTGTGGGCGGGTGAGTGGGACCCCCTGCTTGGGAAGGGGTCGGCAGGCCTGGCTAGCCAGGGATCACCAAGCACCGCAGCCTGGTGAAGCGCTTCGTAACCCACTCTGCACCCGAGGGAGCAGCAGCACAGCAGAATGTGGCTGGGGGCTCTCGCCCTCCTCCCAGCCCCCAATTCCAGCATGCCCCTGACAACTTCTTTCAGGTCTTGGGTCATTTTCCTTTGACACTGAAAATGCCCCCTCCAGGAGCTTGCACTCTGCTGCGGAAGCCATCATGACCAGCATAGCTACTGACGCCCCTCTGCCGCTGCACCCTGAACGCTGTGTGCTGCTGTGGAGCCGGCTGTAAGGCAACTGGAGGTGGTCGGGGGGGGCGCATGACCCTTCCCTGGTGCCAGGCTGATGGGAAGGGAAATCGTTTCTCTCCTGCCCATGTAAGTCAGAGCCAATTTTTCTGCACCAGGGCATAGGTTCATTGCATTGCAGGATTCCTGCAGCGATGGCACCCGTGTTGCAGAGAACAATTTGCCTCAAAGGGTGCGCCTCCGAGCACTGCCCCTCACACGGGGCTGTGCACCCTTGGTTCAGGGTGGGCCTTGTCCCCAGACCTTGGCCAGGCACTCGGGACCAAGGCCAGGAGCATGGTGAGCTGCTCTCTACAGCCCGCAGCAGCACATGTTCCCCCAGGGCACGCAGCACGGTGCAGCGTTCCGCTGCCCTGCCCCAGTCTGCTCTCAGGGGGGGGCAAAGGGCCCATTGCAGCCCCCACAGCGCACCAGCTTTGGGAAAAAAAAGCCCAGTGTGACCTGGGAAACGC